CCCTTCGCAATGCCGAAGATAGCTGGCCTTGCCCGGCGAAGAGCTCCAGGAACTCTCGGTCCTCGGGGAAGTCTAGTGTTCAGGGCTAGGGTTTTCAAATCTTCTCGGGATATAGTTACAGATTATATTGGGGAGTCCTTCGTCTTGGGTATCTGGTCATTGAAGAGCAACAGCAGGACTGCAAGAGTAAGGCATGCCGGGGCATCCACCATCAAAAGCTCAGCAACAACCATGTTGAAGGAGGGCACGTCAAAGGCCTACCCTTAGACCTCGATCTAGCTCTAGCCACAAACTCGGCAGTCGAATGGATGTAACAGTACTAGTATATTCAAGGCGGACCGCATCCGTGATTGATCTCTCGCTCGGCATGCATAGCTAAGGGATTTTTCTCGGCGTGCAAATTGTTCCACCGATCGAACCCCGGCAGGAAAGTTTGCAATAATTTCATGCTTGCCATGGATATTCGCACAGCAGCACAGCTACAGAGCCTAATGGCCTTCTTGAAAGGAACCACAGCTAGCAGCCACCCAAAGCAGCAGCCCGAATGAACGGATTCTCCGTGCATTCTTTGGGCACAAATTTGCGCCTCTTCAGCTCCATGAGTGGGAGGTCGGCAAGAAGCGATGCTCTTTCCTTGCTCTCGATCCACATCCGTAAAGCCTTCTTAGGAGCGTGTCCCTCGGCCTTGGCGTTCTCCCTGTACTGCTTAGCACGCTTCTCGAAGTCTTTGGGCAAGTATTCTCCATAGGCATGCTGAGCATCTTTGGGACCCTTGGCCTGAGCCTTTGAGGGCTTCTGATTCTTGCTCCCTGTAGCTTTAGGCTTCGAAGCTTTGTCCTTTTTCAAGGGCTCCACTTTGAAACGATATCCAGCTGGCTTCTTCGGGGGGGCGTCCTTGGGCTTACCCTCATCATCAGTCGCAACGGCATCAGAATCATCCCCATCCTCACCTTGAGCCCCGGCAGCTTTGAGTGCCTTCTGGTACTGCTCGGCGATGAGCGGGACTGGTGCAGGTGCCAGGGTCGTAGGCAGGCGATCCAAAACCTTGGGCCACACAGGTACTGGGTTCGAAATTAAGGATGTTAATATAGCGAGGGTTTACCATAATACTCGGAAAGTTAGAACCGCAGTATTAGCCTAAAGACCTGAACTACAAAGTAAGTCGCGATCAAGCAGCATAGCTCGGAACAACCTTGGGGCAAGCCCCTTGGAACTTGTACCCCGTTGTTTTCCCGGGACTGAACTTGAACCCCTTCTTCGAGGATGACTCAGACACTTCCGATGCTTTCTCGCAATCCTTCTGGAACAGCTTAACGTCCGAAATCTGAGCACAAAGGCGGCTCATAATGGAGTCCCTGCTTGACAGGCTGGCGTGGGAGGAAATAGACGATGTGGCGGAGCTCAAGGTCTCGTCCCCAGACTCGTCCGACGAGTCTTCGTCAGAGTCGTCTGCAGCGGCCGGGGCCGGATTGTCAGATCTTTCCTCATGGTAGACAGATAGGATTTAAGGTTGTGATTTCCAGTATATATAGGACCCTATATGTAGGGAGACCATAATAATGCCCATCGAGTCTCCAGGCCTTGGATTTTCAGTTCCGCGATTCTTTCTCGAAGAACATTCAATTTCTTCAGCTTGCTGGAGTTCGCACGTTTCAGAAGGCGGCGAGTCCTGCCGACCTCAGCTAGGCATTACAGCTGTCGTGAATGCAACCTTGGAACCGACAACAATGAATGGACAGTTGAGTAGCCATGCGTTTGATTGCGTCGCCCATCCGAAGGCCCCAATCCTGAATACACTCCATAGCGGAAGTAATCCCACGTGGCCACAGTTTCTTGTCGTCGTAGAACTTCAAGATGGCTTCGCGAATTACATATGAAGATGATCGGGCATCTTTCATCACAGATATCGTGGCATAGATGACCTTCGTACTATAGACATATTATAAGAGCAAAATATAAAGCATTCAGGATCTTACACTTAATCAGGGCCCAGCTTAAGTGCATGCCACATAGCATCGCCATTCCTCCAGAGGTCCTTGAGGGTACACTTCTTGCCTTTGAAGAGCTTGCCGGAGTGATCGATAACGAAGGAAAATCCCGCCTTGGATTTAAGACGTTGCGTTTCATCGAATTATAAAGTATTCAAGTCATATGCTCGATCATGAATTAACTATGTATTTCTACCCGGTAGCTTCATGAAGCTGCGGCTGCTTTTCATAAGCAGCGGCGAGCTGCTGCACGATCTCGGGGTTGATTTTGGTCGGCATGGGATCGAGATCTAAATGCTTGGCTCCAAAATTCTCGGCGCATATGTCGATGCTCCATGAAGGCTCAGGATGTGTATTTCGCCCCCCCCCCCCTCAGTCCCAAACCTGAAGTCCACAATCTAAAGTCATTGCTCTTAAAACGACACCCGAAGAGATCTCGCAAGGACTGCATGGCACATAATATATATGCACACGTGTATATGTACGTATGTCCAGGGACATGTTAACTGCTAACTTTGCCTAGGAACTTTGCCTAGAAATCTAGCCACATATTTATTAATTTTCCTTACATACATATATATTAAGCTGCACAATTACTATATAAGCCTATCTATCTTTAGACGAATTCGAAATATACCCCTAGACGAATTCGAAATATACCCCAACATACCCACGACTAGATAAGCTAGCTTCATTTAATTTACAACACCAGCTGCACGGCGAGGGGAGGGGTCCGACCTCCAAACCACTGAGAATCATCTT